TTAGGGTTTGCTTCAGGCGATTAATATAAACTGAAATTAGAGAGAAAAATATTCTGATTGACCTCGCTTATTGAGTTATTAAAGAAAAAACGAAAAAATGTAGCATTTAAACTTTATTAAAAACGATTAGATCCTTCCTACATCAAGGCAAACATTTGCATAGAAATTACACATCCTATACAGCATATTTTCATCTATTAATGAAATGAGTATGAGCTGTCTGTACATCTTCACCAGAGAACTTTCCCTTGTTGTTCTCCGTCTTCACTTCACTTCACTTTCAACAGACTGACAATAAACTCATTCTTCAAATAAACTCGGAAAAATAAGCCCATGGAATTCAAAGCTGGTGATCTAGGTGAGTGAGACATTTTCTGAATGAAAATTCCCTGCATGATTGGAAGATTAAACCCATACAATGAACTTCGAGATCGCCAGATCTTAACCAACAAACATTTTTTCTAAGGTTACTTGAAATAAGCAGTTTCAGTGAATCTTTTTCAATCAAGATGTCAAATTTGGTATTTACACTACTGCCAGATATGTATTATGCAATGTATGTAAACTGGTTCACAATTTCATAAGTCTCTCATCTGAATTTTTGCTTTGATGTAGGAAGTGGACCACATTTTGTGACATCTTATTTTCTAATATTTTCCTTTTCAATAAAGTTGAAATTAAGTGTGTTTGTTTAGTCTCATATGTAAATCGATATGGAAGTCTAATCAGAAAATTTTTTAATCTACATGTTTGAATCCTGACTCAAACATGGACATCAATTTTGAGACTGTGTATTGTGGGGAAGGTTACTGTCCACAAAAATAAGCTCACACTAAAACGACAAATTTTGCAACTAAATGTTAAGGAAAAACATGACAATGTACAAAAAGAAACCGATGATATCCGATAACAAACTGTACTCTGCAATGGCACAATTAGATGAGAGCTACATCACTTCACTATATCATTTATATCCCAAAAAAATAACTGCCCAAGGGTATGTGCCATTGTTTTTAGTCATTGTGCCTGGACTAGGGCTATTTATGGATTGGGACAATTTAATTGCACCGATAAATACCCTTAATGCAGGAATATATCGAGGGCGTCATATCAGAAGGGCTCCCGAACCAAATCTGAAATTTTACAGGAAATGAAAAAACGTTTTAGAAATCAAGATTTAGATTGAATTTGCTGATTTTGCCAATATAATAAGACCAATACATTATAGCTCATTGGGGAGATTTAACGTCTAGTAAAATGCCAATATGTAATTGATTTCCGGCTCTTCTGATATTAGGATGTTCGAGGAACGTGTATTAAATTTATTTAAATAATAGGCGTACAGTATACAAAAATATGCTTTATTAATACAGTAATTGTATTAATAAAAAACTAAAATTTGTTACATTTTATTTCGGTGCCTTTTCCTCTTTATAAGTCGTTCTTGTACTCATAGAGACGTCTTGTCATCGAATTCATCATCGGAATTTTGGGAATTATTTATTACTGGCAAAGAAACATAATAATATTTATATTTTGGAGGAATGACTGCATCTTTGCCTTGGCATATAGACAATAAATTGTTTTACTTTAATTTATTTATAGGAAGTTTTTGAGAATATAGTGATGTAACATTGACCGGGTGTTTAGAACACTTACAAAACACCAAAAACGACACAATTTTTATCTACGAACATTCACAAGTTTAACCAAATGTAAGGTTGTGTGAAATTTACCAAATCAGATGAAGGCGTATAAGCCAATACTGTCTAGCAGGCGTAAAAGAAATACGGAAGTATTAGAAGGGCGTATCAGCATACGCCTGATATTATAGTTTTGCAAAATTGGTTCATATGCCTCAGTAAAATGCTTTAGAATAGAGTGTTGATGTTTATGAATATATACGCCCTTCTGATATATTAAGCGAATTGATTAAATGAGGTCATACGCCCTAAAACCGACTATAGTGGCTGTTACATCCTTTTGGTATGATGCCCTCGATATACTTAAATGTACAATGCGGCAATTGACAATATTTACATTGACAGGTATTAATAATTGGGATTTTTGGAATATTCTAGCTGACGTCGAAATATTACTTCATTATTTACGTGAAAATAGTGATATACCAGGAAACTAGTGTCCCCACAGTATAAATAAAGCTTATACTTACCAGTTGCATGGCTAAATAATTCTACTCCATTATCCCAAGCTGAAGTGGCTAAAAAAAATTTTGGAGGCTGAATGAAACAAATAATTGATTTATAATATTTGTATTGTCTCGAGACTGTTACAGAATAATTATAGTTGTATACAAACAGACTAGAGAATACTAATTAACAATAATGCTGTATAAAAAGTGTAAACAGAGATTCTGACGAAAAGTACACTTTTTGGTAATATATGAAGATTTCACAATAATTAAAAGGCACTTTTAATAATATGGCTTACAATGTCTTTACCATAGTTAAATTCGATTAATAAAACTTAATTTTGGTCCCTAATATATGCACAAGTGAACGTTACAATTTAAAAAATTTATATCTGAGATATAAGAATAATTAGTCATATTATCTTTCCATGAAGTAACAATGTTATAAGTGAAATTGTAAAATCCACTTGAATACAGAAGGAATACAGGAGTTTGTATATTTGGTCAGATTAGTTAGCATAAAAAACAGAACTGTGGAGTTTCTATTGTTAATAGGTAATAAATAATTGGTAAAGACAATGTCTAACAACAGAGCGAGGAAGCTCATTGAAAAGCGCTAGCTGTCAGGAAGGGATAAATAATAACATAACACGTATTTACAAAGTACAAGCCTAAAAAATGCACAATTTTTAATTCGATGGCAAAAAAAATGTTATACTTAATTAAACTTGCTTTAGGGTTTTCTTTAATCACAATTGGGTAATCTTTGGATATTTTAAACTCCTACTTAAAGTATTAAAAAAAAACAAATTGGTAAAATAACAATACCACTTGCTGTAAACAGATCCAAGTTTATTCGAGTTCTGAATATTTTTTAACAAACGGACTAATAAGCAATTTCTCGCATTTTCCATTTGCTAATTTCTCATATACCTCTTTAAACCATAATCTACGACTTAAAATTCCTTTAACAACCATTCCTTATTAAACTTGAATAAGCCAAGTGTTAAAGTTTTTTTATATACATAAAAAAAATCCCAATTATCCTCTAAAAAAAAAGTGCACAAAAAATTTTGTGTTAATTTTCAAAATAAATATATTTTGAGAAATTAAATATTTTTAAGTAGGGATTTAATTCAATTAAATAAAAAATTGGGGATTTTTTTAATAAATGATTATCATAAGCTATCAATTTGACACTTGTAAATTTACACAGCTATTTGTCAATGGTAAATTTACAGTCTCACTCTCAGAAACAAAAAAACGCAGTGTAGTCCTCTACAGGGGTTCTATTTAAAACTATCCAGGCCGAATCTCGAAAATCAAGAGATATCTAAGATTCGTCAAAAGTGTGTGGTACAACTTCAAATTCAAATGAAATTTTTTTTCAATAGTGATGTACAAACAACAATTTTGAAAAATGAAAAAGTGCTAAATTCTGAGCGATTGATCTACAGGCTGTTACAGATACGGAAACGGTAAGAGGTACGAAGTAGCTTAAATGGGGGCAAAGTTGCGTAATCAGGGGACCAACATTATGCCTGTAAAAAATAAGGTTAACATGATTAGTTTTCGAAATATTTGAAAAAAAAACGAAATTTTGGAAGAACGTTTTTGTTTCATTTCAGCCTTGTTTGAGGTGATATTGAAAAAAGAAGAACACTTTCTCATAGCCACTTTTTGTCCTCTATCGAATAGCATAATCAATTTTTATATGTAACGTTTCATCTCTCCAGGACCATCATCAACTTCATTTTTTTAAATACGACTCTGGAAATATTATTAAATTTTTTGCTAGCTTTCATGACCCACAATACTGTACTGCTTCAGTCCGAACCAGATTCAGACGTTTTGTCTCGAAAAATTCATCTTCAGTGAATTTGTTCCAAATTTGTCTAATTTTTCGTTTAGATTTCTTCTGTAAGTGTCGTTAGACCCTGTAAAATCCACCTAGTTATTTAAACTATTACCACCACTCGTTACAATAAAACATTTATCATTATTAACTATTACCATCACTTGGTCATACATAATCAATAAGTTGTTACGTCAAAATTAAAATATTACAATTGTAATTTTATTATGACATATTAATTCCTAAAAAATGCACATGAACAACCAAAACGCCAACTGAATATTATTCTTTAAAAAATTTTGGTAAATGTTCAAAAACATTTCGTTTTGGCAAAGGCTGAAAATGAAAATCAGCGTAATATTATCGGAATTTATTATATCTGTAACCGAAACTGCTGAAAAAAATAGATCGGAATTTGTTTGAATTTTGAGCACTGGAGAAGTTTAGAAATAACTATAGGCACAGGATTAAAACTCTAATAATGTTTTATTTTACTGCGTGGTGGTAATAGTTTAAATAACTAGATGGATTTCACAGGGTCTAACGACACTTACAGTGTACGATAATTCAATAAACAAAGAAATTTAAATAAAAATTTAGATAAATTTGGAACAAATACACTGAAGGTGAATTTTTCGAGATAAAACATCTGAATCTGGTAGGGCTGAGGCAGTACAGTATTGGGGGTCATGAAAGCATGCAAAAATGTAAAAAAATTTCCATGGTTGTATTTAAAAAAATGAAGTTGATCATGGTTCTGGAGAGACGAAACGTTACATATAAAAATTGATTATGCCATTCGATAGAGGGCAAAAAGTGGCCATGAGAAAGTGTTCTTCTTTTTTCAATATCACCTCAAATAAGGCTGAAATTAAACAAGAACGGATTTCCAAAATTTTGTTTTTTTTTCAAATATTTCGAAAACTAATCATGTTAGCCTTGATTTTTAAGAGGCATAATGTTGGTCCCCTGAATACACTACTTTGCCCTCATTTTGCTAGTTTGTATTTCTTCCGTTTTCGAGATCCATGTAGTGAGAAGCGAATTTGTAACAGCCTGTATATGAGAAATGTCATTTATATACAAAAATTTTTACAGTACTTGGATAATTGCGTCCTTTTGTTTTTGCCGGAAAGTTCTAAATGAAACACCCTGTATAATTATTACGAAACAAATACATACTTTTCTGTTAATTAGATTTCAATCTAGTTAAGGACGAATAAAAAATTGTGCAACACTTTTCCTGGATATATTATTTGATTTTCTAGATCACAAACACTTAACCCACTGTCAAAAGATAACTATGAGTATAACATTAAGTATTAAAACGTAACAATTAAATCTAACCTATTTGTTAAATAAGGCTGTTATTGCGTCAATATTGTCGTCTGCGATCTAGAAAAACAAACAAAACGTTTGCTTACTGCCTTAAAACTGAATTCGATATTTGCTCGTATTCGAATCTGTGGAAGACTTACTATCCCTTCCTAGAGAGGAGCCCCTCTTCAACGAGTTGCTTCCGTAGAGACGTACTTTCGAGGGAGGAGGTAGAGAGCTGGCCGAGTTATCACTAAGAGTTGAAGCTGAGTCTCTTTCGCCACCGGAGCTTCCACTGCGTACCCTAGTAGACGGCTTACGTAACGAGGCACTTGAACCGCCACTTTCGGATAACCTGCCGTATTCTCCCAGCTTTCTCGGAGGGGGTATGAGCGACCTGGCAGGGGAGGCTCTTCTGCTGCTAGTATTCGAGCTTAACGACTCCCCTCCGTCTGACTTTTTGCGGGGGATCTCGTTATCTGGAAGACGATTGTAGTCTCCCATTCGCCTGGGAAGACCGGATCGGTGGGAGGACCTGGGGGGCCTTGGTAAGGAGCTCGGGGCTGGGCAGTGGTTGGCGGGACTGTCCAAAACAGGTTGGGTACGGTTATTTTCTGTGTTCTCTTGCATGCGTTGCTGCTGCGAGGTGCGCCCTTGCTTCTCCAACAGCAACATCTCTCCCGACTCGTGACGAGAGGGAGGCATCAGAAAAGAACCTGATTCGAACAGTCCCCCTGGGTTTGAAGTTACACCTGCCAATAGTGGCTTGGGTATTTTTCCTTTTCTCTGCGCAGTGACTGGATTAGTGAATCCTGGAAAACAGCAAAGACCCCGCTGAAATAAGGAAGAGAAAGCCAATTTTGGGATATGTCCAGGACCTGAGTGAAAGATGGGTTAGTAACACGGCAACGCCACACGGACGAGGCAACGCCATGCTGGATGAGTGGTGTGAGGGAGGGTGAATTTTGGCTGATTCTTTTCTTATAGAAATGAGAGTAAGCTTATGAAATGCAAATAATTCTAATTTCTGTTTTTTTTTTCTTTTAAAGTTGAATGAGTTTTTTCATTATTTTGTTTATTCTTTTTAATTTAATGCAAATTTTCTGAATAGAAATGTGTAAAATATTATGATCAAAAAATGAATTGATACACAGGGCGGTTCTTGAGTACCTTCGGACAATAATAGGGGTGATTCTTTGTATCGATTTAAATATAAAATTTTGCATGACCCTATATTCTAAGCAGCTTAGTTTTTCAGATGCGGGATGTTAAAGCTGTTAAAAAAACACCACAACAAAGGAAAATATTCCAAAAGATATAAAGTTAAAGATTTACTTGTACATATAGTTATTGTATCAACCAAAAGTGGAGATACTTCTGGAAACGGTCACAGAGAACTTCAGAATTTCGGCAAAATTGAGAATTTTGGAAACTCAATCAGTTTACTTGATTGAAACTTATATTTTATTCATATGTCTTATTTTATAAAAAAAATTATAGAAATTGTATGCTCCAAATACATTTTGAAATACAATGCAGTCATCCGAAATTAAAAAAATTATTTAGTATAAAAATTTTGAATTTTTTGAAGGTTTGCATTTAACAAAGTATGCCATAAATTTTTCAAATGTTTCAGTTAAAATTGGATATGTAAGTAGCGATTGTATAGATTTTTTTTTATAAAATTAGCAGTTTTAAAATTATTTTCAATTTTATCAGCAGATAAGCTTAATTATTTCAAGTTAAAAACAAATTATTTCAAAAATTACTAATTTTTCAGATAAAATAGACCTTTTTTTTTCTTTGAAATATAATTAGGGATCAAATAAACTAATTAAATTTCCAAAATAGGCAGTAGCATCGAAAGTAATTAAATTGTATACATTTCTAACGTTTTTCGAGAAGTTTCATCTCAAAGACTAAGCTGTTTAGAACTTATATTCATACAAACGTCTTTTCCTTAAAATATTTTAAAGAATTACCCTCTATGTATTTAAGGACCACCCTGTGGATAGGATTTTGCAATATTCCACTAACAAAATTATATAGGCGGTTCTCTAACCAAAAATAAGAAAATGTAGGCGTGAATCTTTGTTTTTGAGTACTGCTATCCTTTTCAATTATTTTCATGTGTATTCATTGGCCGATTGTCACCAGACAGCAATTTGATCATGTTTTAAGTCACACTTTGATGAATACTAAGAATTTATGAGATCAAAAAGTTAAAGTATTTTTTCCTTGTGCCGTTGCAACAAAAAAATTCGGAGGAACTAAAAGTTTACACATTTTTACCGTCCTCAAAACAGTGTTGAATGTACCGCTTTGAATGGATTACTTTAAAAAATATGTAAAACAAACGACAAAAAATTTAAAAAAGTAATAAAACTCACATCACCTTGTATCTCAAAATGAAGCATTTTTGAACACAGATTCAAATGAACTTATTTCTTATTTTTAGTCAAACAAAACAAGACACAAAATAATTAATGACCTGTAAAATTCTGTAGACATATTATTGCAACATCCTGTATTGCAACTGTTAATATTTAAACATGATAATGCAGCAACCATTAATTTTTTTGTTTTTTTTTTTAGCGGCTATTATCATAAAAAATGAAAATATGGAAAACAATAAAGATGTCTTTTATTAGTATGTGTAATAGTGATAATGTGTAACAAATCCCATTTCTATTCGATTGGTAGTAATAAAGCGGGTTAAATATGGATTTTAGGCAAAAATCATTAACTTTGCAAACACTCGGATGTAATAAATATAATTTATTGATTATCATGCTTGACACATACATGCAAAAAATATTAGATAAATTAAAAAATTACGATACTGGTGTTTAATTATTGGAGTATTGAAGAAATTTATTTAATTTTAAATATTTGAATTCACTGATTCACACAAATTAAATAGATCAGACTAGAATTCAAGGAAATATTTTACCAGAGTATTAATATAGAGGTAAATATATACAAAACTAGATGAAGTTCTAGGCCAAGATATAGGGCACTAAAACATTTAAAATTAGGGAAAAAAATCAGATCTTTTGCCACCAGTATTGTAAGAAGACACATTGAAATATGAAAATGTTGTTTCTTAACTGTTCATTAAATTTTACTTGGCAGAAATCGAAAATTTACAACAGATAATAATTTGTGTTCCATATTTTTGCAGATATTTTTTAAAAAGCTATAAAGCAAAAAAAATTGAAAAATCAGTGTGTCCTCGGTAATAAAAAATAAATAAATAAAATTCACTTATATTTGGTTAAACACATTTGGTCAGAAAAAAGATTTTAAAACAGTAGTTAACTATGTACAAAATATCAAAATATAAACAATCAAACAAAAATTCTAAGGTACTAGCACTCCAAGAAATTAAAATATAGAAAGTGACTCACTATTTGACTGAATAATATTTTTTCACTGAAAAGTCGAAACTTTTACTTTGTTCTGTACAATTAAACACACACGACCAATATTTGACGGCTCTTAATCTTTGCCTATCGCTATACGTAAACAACTTTCCAAAAGAAAAGGGTCGTTTCCATAAATAACGTTTTATGTATGTATGTAAAATGCTATATAAATACAAAATACTTACAAAATAATGTCAATATACAGGGTGATTCACAAATGGTGACCAAAAATGAAACCTCGTATTCTTTGGTGAATTGTAAGGGGAATATTTCCTATAAAGTTTTTATCCAGAACGTGTCGTTAAAAAGATACAGGGTGTTAAACTTCAAAAAATATTTTTGAATTGAAAACACTAGATCTCAACTCACTGGATTTCTTTTTGTTAAACAGCTGGTATACAATTAAGAAATTAATACATTTGAGCAGTTAGAAGAAAGAATAAATAATGCTTTTCATCAGATTCAAGCAACAATAAATTTCAAAAAGATTCGTTACTAAAAATATGTCGCGTCTAAGATTCATTACTAAAAAGATGTCGCACCTGTGTTTTTGCAAATGGAGGTATTTTAGAGCATTTCCTCAAATAAAATCATTAAAATGTTGACTAATGTTATTAATTTCTTTATTTGAATAAATAACCGAATGATTAGTGCTTGTATTTAAGTAAAAATGTTTTCAGTTTGTTTTTTAAGTTTTACTTGAAAATCATGCTTTTCTCAAAAAAAAAAAAACATGAGAGTAGTAATTTACAGAAAATTGAAAGACGAATCCAAGAATATCATGGTTGTGACCGTAAAGCAGTGATGTACTATTTTATTTAGAAAAATATGACACCGATACCCTGTATCTCGGATACCGGAACAAGTAAATGATTAGAAAAAGCCCTCAGATTTTGGACAGTGTCTACATAAATACATGTGCTTAATTTCAAATTATTTCACTTACTAGTTTTTAAATTATTTAAAAAAATTAAAAATATTTGTTGAACTTTAACACCCTATATCTAATCTATTAAATTCCTTAAAATTCACCAAAGAATACGAGGTTTCATTTTTGGCCACCATTTGTGAATCACCCAGTATAGCACTTTTTTGTTTATTATATTTCATTGCAATTTCTTAAGATAATGTTAAAGGGAGGATTAGAAAATTTCGTTACACTTATTGGCGATTCTGTAAAGTTTTATGTGAGTGAGATACAATCTATGAAGTATGTTAAACCTTAATTTCTTACTATCATCCAATGCCTACTGGGACAAAACAGTTTTGTACCTACTGACAGAGAGCAACCTACTAATCTGTCATTACTAGGAAAGCATAACTAGACTCACATTACGGCAAGTTAGCGAATTGACATTTATGTCATTGACATAAAAAGTCAAGCAACGCTGATCGTGGTTAGTACTTGGATGGGTGATCATCTGAGGAAGGCTCAGGATGCTCGTCCACCTTCTAGTGGCTTGTATGTTGGTGTATTCATAGAAGCTATACAAATTTAAGTGCGGTTTGTATAGGAAGACATGTCATCCCTTGGAAAGGATGTAAAACCGTTAGTCCGTTGTTTAAACAATGTTAGGCAAAAGATCCCTACCCCACAAGAAAGTGGGGGTTCGGCAAAATTTCCAGGTTTCAGGTTCGAAAAAGCTAAAACCTAAGCTAATTTCACATTAGGCAGAATAAAGTTTTTAACTAATAATATTGTGACAAACAACTGCTCTGCAGACTACAGCTCCGATTAGCGCTGAATTATACCCACAATATCTAGTAACATCTAAAATGATTTTTAAGCGACACTAGTCATCTTTATCTAGTAGGTCGCTTTCTGCTAGTAGTACAAAGCAATGCTTTGTGCCAGTAGGCATTGAGTAGTGATGACAATTAACGTAGTTTGTATAATAAAAGGCCAATCAAAGAAAAATGACAAATGACCAAAAGCGAGGTGTTAATTTTTACTGTTATCAACTAACCAATTTTTAAATGATCCGCCATTTTTTCATAAAAAGATTAGAAACCAAACCAAACAGCAATTTGATTATGCTTTAAGTTACATTTTGATGAATATTAAAAATTTATGAGATCAAAAAGTTAAAGGATGTAAACATCTTTTCCCTGTGTCGCCTTCTTGTTGATTATTGTGGATGGATTATATAAAAAAAATATGTCAAACAAACTTTATCACCCTGTATCTCACAACGAAGAGTTTGTGGACACGGATTCATACGAACTTTTTTCTTACTTTTAATTCAAGATAATAAGATATAATATAATCAATGATCGGCCATTTTTGCAATGACTAAATAAAATCTATTGTGTATTTGTATTTACAGTTATTAGAAAAATAATTCTAATGGATAAACTTCATCACCCAAAGTGGTAATTCAAAATTATTTTTTTATAAAAAAATAGGAAACGACCCTATTATTTCTAATCAGTTTATCAGTTTCTGTTTTTTTTTTTAATCAAGCTTTGCCAACAGACCAATACTTTGATATGTAAAATTTAATACGAAAAAGTCAAGAAATCATTAGGTAACGACGTTCTTTCACACATATCTCATACTATCTTCAGATTAATATTAACAAATATCACATTGTTGATAAAATCTAAATTCCTACATTACATTTATCTAGTACCATATAGATTATTTTTGAATATCAAAAACAACTATATTAATTTTTTTTGTACAGAACGAAAGTGTCTTAATAGAACAGTCAATAGAATGTCTCTGTCTCTCCTACCTTGCTAAGCAGTTGCGAATCTAGCTGGCTATCTATCTCTTTTAACTGGTTATCCAGTGTCTGTTTCGTACTGTCGTATGTTTTGTTAGTCTCGTATTTACTGTATGATGGCATGTGGTAGGAAGAGTCGCTTCCGGTATAGGAATTTCCGGAACCATAAGCTGTTGAGTTCGTCAAGACACTACTCACTGCAAAAAAATAAACAAAATTGATATCTCGGTAGTCTAGACACCCTGTAATTTTGTTATTTATTGACCGATTTTCATTATTATTTTTTTTCAACAGATCAGTTTGCTTAGGGGTCATCCATAAATTACGTCACACGTAAATGGGGAGGGAGGGTATCACCGAAATGTGACAATGTGTGACAAGGGGCAGGGGGGGTCAAAAGTTTTGTGACGTCACATGTTAAAATTTAAAATACTAAAACGCGAAATTTAGATGTAAATAAAAAACTATAAAAATCTACGAATTTGATCTATATTTATTAATAATTTAGCATTCTCGCTATGATATTATCTCTCATGCAAATCATTTAACTTCTAGAGCGGCGTATGTGATGCGAGTGAGATACTCAAATTCACAAGAATTTTGAATGGTAAGGGTTTAAATAGGTTTAAGTCGTCGGCGAGTGCTCGCTCGCTTTTCTACCCTTCCGCGCGTCGGTTGTTTACGAGACCTTCGACAAGTGCTACCACACGCGCAATGAAAATAGCTGTTTTCTCTCGATTATTTTTAAATACATGCCTAAATTTAAAAAATGTGTGATGTCACATCAGGACGGGGGGATTATAAAAATGTGACAACCTGTGACAAGGACGGGGGGAGGGGTTCAAAAGTCCTAAAATTCGTGTGACGTAATTTATGGATGGCCCCTTAAATAACATCTTTTATTGAAAAATGAGACAACAGCATTCAAAGAAAAGTAACAAAAACATGGAAATGTATGAAAAACCCACTCTTAAAGTTTTAAAATTGTAGAAGTCAGTCCCATCACCACTAGAAGAAATGTATTTTTTTATTTTAGTCCACAATTTTTCTATCACATTCAAAAACTGCTGATAAGTATGACCTGGAGTTGTAAGTACTGATCACACTGTATATGAAACGATCAAACCTGGTGTTTGCGTAAAGTTATACCAACTTTGTGACAAGAAAAATTCAACGTACAATATGCCCCGGTGCTCATTGAGCTCGTTGCGCTCCCATCGCGTTCTCCACCGATCTTTTCCAAAGAATCTCGGGAGACCGCGATGTGATAGAGACGAGCTTCCTCTTCCATATAACTCATTTTTTTAACTTCTGAAACAATACCTCATCTATTTAAAGAAGAGCGCGAGCAGGATTGTGTACGTTTGCCAAATGCGACTGATTTTGTAAAAGACTACGATCAGGTCAGCCCAGAAAGGACTGCGATGCGACGGGATGGCGACCGCCTAATGCATTCTCTGCTTTAGTGTACATTTTGATTGGAATATCTGGGAATACAATACCCTCGAATAAACCGAAATATTAGCAGAAAAAGTGGTAATAAGACAAAATATTATGAAATACTTTAATTCCAATGTATACGGAATATATTGGAATGATGAAATGGAACTGGGAACAACTACATGGAACAACTTGAGTACAATAAAAGTTTTTAAAGTACAGTTTCTCAACGAGGGTTAGTAGATCACACCCTGCTATCGGTTCATTGTTGACAACTTTTGAAATTTCTTCCTCTGCCTGTAATATGTCGAATGATCTAACAAGTGCATTTCTGTGAAGCAGAGTGGAATCTCATCCTAAAATATTCTGCAAAATGATGTGATGCCTCTGCAGCATTTCGCTAGCATTCACCGTTAACAACATATAAATAAGTTCAAGATCATCCCACATAATATGAGTAATTTTATGATAATTATCACTAACACAAGACTAAACTTAGTTTCCAAACACAATATGTCTTATAAAACTCTGACTTCTAACTGTAATTTGCATAACATACATAACTGTGTTAAGGTGAATAAGTACAACCTATTGTAGACTCATCATAAGAAAGTAAGGACTGGCGTTAAAAGATCTAATGGGGTGTTTGCATAAAAAAGTGCAGTTTTCTGTCACTATATTACGATGGAGGTCAATGCAAAGTATATGGTTAAAAAATTTATATCCGAATCTTACACCTTTGTATTCAACTTTGAGAAGTACAAGTGTACGGATGTTATTACAGAAAACTTATTTAACTAACTTTTATCTGTCTCTAATAAATGGAGGAGAGTGGTGCGAGATTTTAGTTGAGCTTCTTATTAACAGATGGCGTAATCAAAGCATAGTTTAGAATGTGACAACTGGACCACGCACGTTTCTTATGGAAAATGGGTTTCGACCAATTTTTTTGAAACTGCAAAATAATAGTTCACAACACGTCGATCAAAAGTCTCAATGGGCACGAAGCTCTAAAACCACCCCCAAAGGTCGGGGAAGCACGTAACAGGCTATATTGGTGGATTGCCTAACCGAAATATTTTACTAGTGGGATCTATAGTTACCCACACCATCATTAGGCTCGAGCCTTCCATCCCCTACCACTCCCCCCTTCTCCCGCTTTCCATGTAGCTTATTACTTCTTACTAGTTGTGAACCCATTTGATCGTGCATTTCAGCCTACTGAACTTAGACCATCACCTCACACGACTCTTCAAAACCTCGATAATTATACCCCCCACAAGCCCCTTCGGCCCCTGAATTATACCCCCACTTCAACCCCTTCCAAAGCCTGCCAAATGACTTTACACATCTCACGGGTTGTGAAACTATATATTATCCCTCAGTGACCATCATTAGACAAGACCCTTCAACCCTCGTAATACAGCCCCACCCCCTTGTTTTGATCGACATGTTGTGAACTATCATTTTGCAAAGTTACAAAAAAATTGGGCGAAACCCATTTTCCATAAGAAACGTGCATGGTCCTCTGTCACTTTCACTTCATATTTTTTTAAATTAATTGTTAAATGATTTGATTCAAAATACAAGTCAATTTTGCCATATCATTTAGTTTTATGAAAATATGAGAATATGGCAAATCCCCTCCCACGTGTAATTTAGTCACAGAAGTAAACAAAAATATTTAAATGTTCAAATTAAGTTTTTGCATCATAATATCCTCTCTGAAAGACTCGAGCTGGTACCATAACGATTCACCCTAGTCCAGAAAACACGCCAAAAAGCAAACTTCCTTTTGACGTTTCCACTGATGTATAAAATTTAGATAACAAAAAGTAAAATGTCAATATCAATATATGCCGCAGGTACGCAGGAATAGGAATGCTATGTATCCATCTAATAGAAATGAAGGTATTTTAAATAAAAAAAATTACAGGGCTGCCTGGTCATTAAACATCCTGTATATAGAAAATTTAATTAGATTGCAAATAGTTACAGTCCATATGATATTTGTTGAGATAGAATTACAAGGTCCCTGCATCACTTTCTTGGAATTAACCACATTCAACACCCAAGGTGGAAAGACATTGGAGTAATATTTCAAGACACGCTCCTGCTGCGGTAAATTGTTACAGTAATTTCGATAACAGAACTTTATTGGCTTATTCTTTCTTTTGGAATTCCATCTCTACAAATATCGTACGGACTGTAGTTGTCGTAACAAATATAAAATAAAAAAAATATATTTTTTTCGTTCAGAAAAAATACGTCCAATGGTATTAAATCTGATCCTCCAGGAGGCTATTGTACAAGTAACCCCTCCCAGTTACCCATTTGACGAAATAGGAATATCCATATTGTTTCGATATAATTTTAATAATAATTAAGCATTTACGCTTACCTAATTCTTCTCTAGATACAGTAGTACCTAACACGTGATCGATATCAGCCCCGGCAAGACTGGGGTGAGGCGTATGATGTGGTGATCGTCCCAACATACTCGATACATCCTTGTCGTAAGTATGCTTCTGGAGTACTCTGATCATGGCATCTTTTTCGGCTAACTTGGATTCCAGATCTTTTAACCTAACGGACACATCGATGATGAAACAATTCTGTAAGTTTCTGAAGGAAATCTGTTTACCTCGACTCTAGATCGGCTACTTTCTTCTGCGCCGCGTGTACCTCATCCATATGGCGGATTTTTTCATTGCGTGCCTCCGCTATTATTTTTTCAGTCTCTTGGCTTGTTTTCTCTAATGCTGCTATCTTGGCATCCCTGTAGCAACAATAAATGTGGTTAGTTTTAGGGTTTTATGACTATAAAAAGATAATATGTACGGAGTATCCCGATATTGCGCAGATTCTTTGAAACAAAATAAAGTGATTTGACCATTACGGCAGTCAAAATTGGCAAAATACATTTTTTTTTTAAATAATTCACAGCTCCAGAATTTGTCCTCCTTTAATCAAATTTGATACGCTAGTACTTTTGCATATATGTCAAATAGAGGTTCCACAGGGCCGGGTTCAGGGTATTTGGCACCTGAAGCAAATATTTGCTTGCCACCTTTTTTACTGATGTAACAAAAATCTCAGATAAATAATATACTTTCACTAGTTCCACTTAATTTCTTAAAAATTATTATTAGTCCACTAGAAAGCCATTAAATTTAGAAACGTTTTGTCTCTTTTCGTAAAAAGCAATGTTTTTGAGAAAAATGTCAAAATGTGATCGAACACATATCGTGATTCGCCATTTTCCTCAAAAACATTGCGTTTTACGAAAAAAATATCAAGAGACAAAAAAGTTTCTAAATTCAATGGCTTTCTAACTAACTAATACAGTGTAAACTCTTTATAACGTCGTTTGTTATAACAAAAAACTTCCTATAACGTAGAAATTAAGTCAATTTGGTTGGTTTACGTCAAAACCCATACATTAATACACTCTTTATAGCGCAACAGCCATTCTCTATTACGAAGAAATATATTCATATTTAGACGACAGCAAATATTTACAGAAGTATTTAATAGTGTAATTGTTTTTATAATCAGCTTATAAAAGGTTCCGACTAAATCTTTGAGGTGCCGAAATTTCTAAGAAAGACCCTGAGGGTGCTAATTGCCTTGAACACGTGTGCCATTACTCTTGGATTACATTGTTTCTAGGAAATTTTGCACTCAATTACAAAACGCACTAGGCACCTATTGTGTATTATCAGTCGTACACCTACTTTGAAACTGTCAAGATGGCCAGTAAAAGAAAAGCGTTATGTGTTAACGAAAAAATTTGTTTGATACATGCGATAGAAAAAGGAGAAAAGAAATGTGGAAGACGTTTAGGCCTCAGTCCATCTACTGTTGCTACCATTTGGAAAAACAAAGAAGCAATTCTACAGGCGGAACTGCAGGGAGTGTCTACTAAAAAATGAAAGAAGCCAAAATTCGAAGACTTAGATCAAGCAATGTTGTCGTGGTTTAACAATCAGCGCCAGAATAATGTACCCATCTCGGGGCCAATTATTAAAGCCAAGGCTGAGAAGTTTGCCCAACAACTAGGCATTATTGACTTTAAAGCATCAGAAGGTTGGCTTGGAAAATTTAAGCACCGTTATAACATTACCTATGGTAAAATGAACAGAGAGTATTTTTCCATCTTCCCTCCATATAACAATAACTCTTTATAACGAAAAAAATACCCGGTCCCTTAAGATTCGTTAAAAAGAGTTTATACTGTAATTTAAGAAAAAAAATCTAATTTGCAACCAAATTTTTCTGGTTTCAAAGACAAGAGGGCCTACGAAAAAGTGTCTTAAGGGGGTTTTTCGCTAAAAAGTTTGGCACTGTGAGATTCCACATGTCATAAAACCCCTGTGTAACAAATTTAGTGATTCTCGTACAACATGGTTTTGAGAAATAAAAAAGACATCTTAGGCTATAACTCCGAAAGAGGGGGCCAGTTGGCAAAAATAAAAAATACGGGTCCCCTAAATTTGTCTTAAGAATCTATGCCAAATTTTGTTGCATGAATTACGGGACACTTTGTATGGGTAGCCCTATTCCAATCTAAATACTACGATTTAAAATTGCAATATTTATGAAGGCGATTATGAGAATATCTACACATGAAGATGGTATTTACGAAAGTACTAATAGCAAATCTAATGCCACTATTTTATGGTGGTTCTGTTCATAGTGGCTTTAGGACCTACGACAAGAACTAGAATGAACATCAGGGCAGGTCTAGAGGCTCTGATAGCAGGTCTTCTCCCACAGAGCCTAGCCCGAGAACAACAAAGATAGGTTAAAGGTTCCCAGTTAAGGCTAAAATGAGTAACGTAAATCTGTAACTGGCAAGCAACCAGGTGCATAGATCACGGCAAGACAACCCTAAAAACTATCAAACTTTAAATATCAGGACAGGCCATGAAAACTTTAAAACCACTATTAAATGTTTGTTATTTGGAAAAAAAACTATAAATTTACTCAACACCCTCTAGCAATTAAATGAAGTAAGTTTAATTATCTTATTTTAACCCAAGAATCTGTGGTAGTTACACGTACAGTACATATCATTGGGAAATCTATTTTAAATTTAAAATTTTTTGAGACACACTGTATATTCACATAAAACTTAAATTCTACTCGATTAAACATGTACTCACTTTGGTATGCTAGCAGCATCGATAGCTGCCTGTCTCAGCGTGCTTTCTTCCAAGAACCTTTGCTCCCATTTCGAACACTCTCCTTCCAACGTCATAATTTTTTCGTCTTTCTCCCTCAACCTCCGTTTCAGTTCTGAAGCAGATTCGTTTTCAGATCCACTGGGTGAGTCCCACCCGTTTCCCCTCATTTCCCCTTGAGCTGCCTTCGTTCGCTGAAGTTCCCTCTCCAACTGTAGCCGCAGTTTGCGTTCTGTCTGCTCCCGGCGGTCGCTGGCCATTTGGAGGGACGACAGGGCTCTTTGAAGTTGCGCCACCCGCTCTACGTACACTTGTTTTTTACGGCACTGATAAAAAACAATAAAGATATTTTTCATACATACTTAAACATTTATTATCATTCATACTTACTTCTTCTTCCAAGCGGACAACATTGCCCTGGGCGTTTGTAAGAGCCGTGTCTAGTATATCGATGTGTGTCCTTTGTTCTTGTAAGGTAGCTCTTTGGGCAGCAAGTTCTATTTCCTGTCTTTCCTTTGCTGCAGCTAATTCTTTATCTGTAATTAATTACAGATATGTTCATAGTCCCTAAATTAACCAAGTTCCGCAGTAATTGATCTCGTCTTTTTCCCAAAATAGCGGTTTAACAAATCTCACTTTATATTTGACATTTCTATAGGTACTATTTTAGATTAATAATTCAGATTGTCAAATAAACTGATAAAAATTGTTTCGTATATTGACCGATATGAAAAAATGCTTTAATAAAATAATAAAAGTTTGAATACTTGAAGAATACTTGAAGATCAATCTGATATTTCAAGGTTGGTAAAGGGAATTTACCGCAAAATACCATATCAGTTTATCTATTAGGGAGATTAGGTACCTATGTTGCATAATTAAAAAAAAGTTATAGACGTTTAGATATAAAATACAGGGTGATTCAATAATGGGACAGAGCTTAATGACAGGTTGCTGACTTCAAAATAGAACAATTAAGCCAAACATGCCTTATCCGAATGTTGCTCCTCTACACACGATGATCAGGAAGGGAGAAAAAGTTCGTTGAAAATGTCCGCCAAAACGGCTAACGCAGAAAGTTTCTGTATCATCTGGACATTCAAAATTCGCAAAGCTCAAAATCCTATCAGATCCTTCTTGCGAATTATGGGCATTTGTATATATGTAAAAACGGACCCTCCAGATCTTGCACTATATCCCGAACGTTGAAAATCCACGTCCTTCTGGATCATTTAGAAGAATGCTTATCATTAATTGAAAATGATAATGGTTTGGGATTCTGGTCTGAGCAAAGCGGAGAGGCTATCCATCACAATTTTCTGAAGTTCTGGGGTTGCTACAAGGTGGCAGATATCCGCCATCTTACATATTCAACCAACTTATTAAAGCCTGTCATTGAGTTTTCTTCTCTAAATAAACATCTAATGTATCTTTATTTTATTCCAGTAGGTCTAAAAGACCAATTTGCAATGACCTAATAGTTACAAAAAATATAGAAAAAAATCCAAAAAAATATTTAAAAATGGAGCCAGTGAACCACTACGTCCCCGTCGTTGGTTCTGGGTTAAGCTAAAAGTGGTGTTTTCAAATTCTCAACAACTGATAATAGTCTTTTATCACAAAAAGTTACTGGATGGATAGAGCGTTGAGACCCTCACAACCATTTATCTTTGTAGCCTGATTAGAAAATTTTGAAATTAGAAAATTTTGAAATTAGAATATTTTGTTTAAACAATTTCAAAATTGTTTATTGAACAAGGAAGCAAATTTCTGGTTTAAATATTCATATCTGTCTCTCAATTCTATATATATTCATGATAAGAAATATTTTTTTAAAATTCTCTAATTTTTGCACCCCGAGTCAAATTTTCATTTGTAAATTGTTATTAACAAATTAAATAATGTTGTTTGCATCAAACTATCTTCAAGATAAGACTTAGGAGAACCTATTAATATAAAACTAACGTGGTTTGGGCCCATAATATGGAATAGGTGAGCTGGGGACTTCGAACGATCGATTGGCAGTGCAAGATCTGGAGAGTCCGTTTTTACATATATACAAATGCCCATAATTCACAAGAAGGATCTGATAGGATTTTGGGCTTTGCGAATTTTGAATGTTCAGACGATACAGAAGCTTTCTGCGTTAGCCGTTTTGGCGGACATTTTCATCAAACTTTTTCTCCCTTCCTGATCACCGTGTACAGGGTGTTAGATTTGAATTTTTTTTATTATTTTTTTTTAAATAATTTCCACTGAAATTCTAAAATCGTTTTTTTCGAAAACAGTTAATTTTTTCAACTATTGCCAGGTATACCTTTTTTATTTAGAATTGAGCGTGGTTTAATAATTTCTTATTGGAAGTTTAAATTTTTGAGGGACAAAAAAGTTGTTATATCTTTACTCTAACAGAACACTACAAGTAGCACTCCCCAGAACTGATTGCAAAATAGTTATCATTTTCATAATTACCACCTCAGAAAACATAGTCATACAAACTTTCAAGACAATCGGTTCAAAGGTGCTCAAGATATTTTAAAAAAAATGAACACATTTTTTCAACTTTAACACCTTGTTGATTGAAAAAGAGCAACATTCAGATAAGGCGATAAGGCATGTTTGGCTTAATCGTTCTATTTTGAAGACAGCAATCTGCCATTAACTGCTGTCCCGTTTTTAATTAATCTCTCTGTATACAAATGTTACTGGTATTCACACTAAGTGATAACAACCACTAAAAACATATTCTTATCTTCATATTTAAATCGTTTTTGATGTTATCGGTGATTACCTATTAAAAGATTAAAATCTATAGGTTCCAGTACAGATAAGAATTAGTTAATGCTATAAATGAGTGCTGCCAATATCCAAGTTAAAAATGTTGTTTTATTTATTGAAAGAAAGTAATTTTATAACCAAATATCTTTTAAAAATGAGCAATCCTAATAAAATTATCAAGTTTTACTAACAATGTTTTAGAATTTTGTTAAAACATTTTTAAAAATTTGTTACTAAAAAATAATACTTAGGATGGATAAGTCCACTGTTCAATTTAAGCTGAGATAATAAAGAAACAAAATGTGACTTCCTTCCCAAAACTGATCTTTTTTTTTCCCAAATTCTGCTACTAACAATATTAATGCGCAGTTGTTCTGGTCGACAGACTCCATAAAAAAATAACCTTGAAACATACGCTAATATTTTCTGGAATGTGATGAATCCCTTATCCGAACAAGCAAGCCAAAAACAGGAAACCACATATGACATTAAACCTTAAATTAATCAAAAGTCTGTATCAATTTAAAAGTGTGGTTGAAAAACATGAGACTCGAAAATAATAGCGCTTCCTTTAGCGTATAATTAATTATTATTATATCCCAGATTTCTGCTTGTTGAACCGCAATATATGCTATAAACGTCTGAGACCTTTGGCAACATGTTTTTAGATAAAAAAAATATATATTTTTTGCAGTCTAGAACCATATATTACTAACTATAAGTAAAATTTTAAATTATTTTTGTTCTTTTACAAAATATACATAAAGAGTAAATATTAATCTAGCAGATCTGAAATATATTTTAAAACCATTTAGTTTTTAATAAAAATTATTTGTAATTATTTCTTTGAAGCACTGTGTTTAGTTTGTGAATCGCAGTGTCAATGACCACTGATACTGACCTACTTTAAGTGAACTACATATCAATCCACCTGATGATATATGACAAGAGAGTTATGCAGGCAAAAAACCAAGGGCCAACATTAATTTTCAGAAACGAGAATGCTGAAACATGTCACTTCTTTTTATTATACTTTAATTTATCGATTTATGAGAAGGTGTTTGTAATATAGTAGACAATTTAGAGATTTTCAGCTAGAAATGATAATTTTTACCGGAATCAAATTAGACTTTGTATAGTTCAGTATTGTGTTTTATTAAGTTTAATGTTATAGTAATACAGTCAAAGCTCCTTATTCGTGATTTCAGTATTCGTGGACCGAAAAATTGTTAACACTTTCCGTATTCACGGGCGCAAAATTCTGTATTGGATACATATTGTATTTTTTTAAAATAATGTTTATTTATTTGTTAAAATAAACAAGTAGGTATCAAAATATTTATAAACAAACAAATCTTAGTGTCGTGAAGCCAAAAGTCGCCGCTGACGCCGCTCGCTTACACGTGTCACTATGGCCTTTGAAATGTGACATTAAAAAAAAACCCGAGTGAAAGTTTACGGATGGCAAATGAACTTTGTGATTTCTTCATAACAATTGATCGGTCTATGGAAAGAAGTAATGTTTTTAAGAAGAAAATTGATAATGTCACGGCTGAATATCAATCTGAATTAAAAGGCCTTTTATAAGCTTACACTAGCTGTCCATTGGCAGGGTACGAAAATTACAAAAAAAAATATAAAAAAGAAATCAGTTTTCACGACAGCATTTGAGAAAACAAAACTTTCCATGTTTCTAAATGGCAAAGCTAACCATATGAAGTCTTTTCAAAGTACTTTTATTAAAAAAATTAAAAAACTGATAATAGAAAGAAATGGTACTCACTCTGTGTAATCAGTTGTTTAATAAGCCCCTCTCTTTTGCTCAATTCCCTTCTCAGATTGTCAGGACCACTGGAATCTGGAACAGGAGATCTGGAAAGCATCTGCGTAGACAACAATTCCACTTGCTCTCGGAGAGCTCTGTTCAGTTCTTGGTATCTACGGCAGTCGGCCTGTAGCCTAGCTCTAGCTGCACGCTCTAGTCGTTCTCTTCTTTCGCACGACTGTACCAATTCTTCGTGACCCTTGTGAACTTTCAGAATTTCTTGCTCCAACTGAAAATATCAAAAATTTTATGTTTGTCATTTTTATAGAAATATAGATCTTACCCTTTGAGTTCGTTCGACTCTTTGATAACAATTCTCCAGTTCATGTTTTAAGGCACTGTTCTCCTTTATGAGGATTTCCACCATTTCCGCAGATGGCCAGATTTCTTCTGCTTTAGATTCGTTCTCCTCCCTTCCCTTTGTAGGGGGTCTAGGCGCTGACACACCCCTCCTGAACCCAGAAAAATCGCACTTCGCCGCCCCCATTGTTGACAGGTCCGGTTGTGATTTGGATAAATTCAATTTATCCGTAGAGATTTTGCTTCTACTATTAACGGCCTGTTGAAGTGGGGACTTTTCGGACCATTTAGGATATTCGGGCGGAGGAGGTAAATTATTTATATCGAAATTAATGGGATCGAATTTGTTCAACAAATTCTCGATATTTTCGTTCTTAGTTGTACCATTGGGAGATGGGACTTTAACTTCTTTGGCTAAGTGTTTCAACACAGAGGACTGAGATAAATAATCGTCTGGAATTTCTGTAATTTCCTGCACACCTGGGTTAAGGAAGAGAAATTTACATTGGAGTTTAATAAACATGTCTGTATTTTACCTGTACTTGTAATAGATGGGGATGGGGAAGCTGAATTCCTTTTCTGTATAGGGGAAAGTTTAGAATCATTGTACAAGTTGGTTTGGTGGGATAAATAATTCGGGGGGGATATATTTGACGTCTCTCTGGGTCCTGAATTTCTGCCTAAGGTGAAAGACAGATTTTCTTGAAATATTTATTTTAGTAACAACGGAAATTAAAAAATGAATCAATTTGTCATCTTATATCATTGAGACACAAGAATCTATGGATATAAACACTAATGTTAGCAAAAGTATGTCTCATGTTATAATGAATCATTTTGCAACATTTTTATTAAGTAAACATGCATTTCCTCTGAGTCTTGACAACTGACCTTTAACAAAACAATTTATCAATTAATTAGACTAAAACTTCCCACTATTTTCAAAGGCAACTAATGATGTTACTGTACGTTTTTGGGGACATTAAACACAAATTATTTTTAAATCGTTTGATATATTATCAAGTTAATTTAAAACATATTTATCAATAAACAAATTAGGAGAAACATAATGAAAACAAAGAATATGTTTAACTTAAAAACATCACATTCCTAAAATTGACATCACAATTATTCAGGGGTCAGATTGGCGATTTAATATCCTCTATATAATATGATAATATATTATGAGCAAATGCTTCTTTTAATTATCAGTTTAAAATTATTACTTTATTTCACAGAACTGGGAGTAAAAGCTTATTTGGATTTCATTTTAAACAAAGCAAATTTCATTTGGAGACGTAAATATGTTTGAAATATATCTGGTTCTTTGAGTATAAAGATAAGCAAGATACTTTCCTTAAAAAATAGGTGTTTATATGTGACAGAATTCTGATAAACAGGTGCAAACAATTGCAAAAAATGCAGCATGAAATATTTGCAATTTCAATTAATCTCAACACTAAGTAATACAAAAAAATTTGCAACGGGAAATACTAAATTTGATACAGCACATAGTGTCATCTCAATAATTGTTTAGTTTAAAATTTAAAGCAGTGTGAATTATTATAAAATACTTTCTATGATGATATTTTATTCAGTCCAATTAATGCTATTAGAGAGGCATACTATGTAAAAAAGTTACTTAAATCCTATGACTTGCTTAATAACACTAATGGAATTTGATGGTTCACATAAAATTTTATTTACCTGTCCACGGTTCATCCCCTGCACTATGGATAATTAGTGTATTGTAAGATGAGGAGGACACATCTAACGAGCTACGATTTGAAGGTAAACTGTCCCTAAGTGAACTTCTCTTCGAGTCGTTGAGATTTTCTTGACCCTGAGGTTCTTGTCTTGGAGTATGTCTAATGACGTATTTCTCTTCATTTGAGAGGTTCTCATTCGATGTAGACACATCTGTCTCACTACCACTTAGACTTTGAGGAAAATTTCCTAAATTCAATAATTAGTGAATTTGTGAATAAAAAAATATGGAAAAAATTACCTTGGCCTACTTGCATGAATGAACGGTACCTATTATTAGACTGTTGCATTTTTATCGGTTTATTAGTATACTAAAAACTTTACCATACTTCGTAAAACTCTCAAAATCACAATGTCTAAAAGGAAAATATTTTTAATTGATATAGTGTAACTATATTACCTTTTCTAAAATTATAAATAATAAATTTCTACTCAATTATTGAACACTTAACATCTAACATGACAATATAAAGTCAGAACTACAAAAAATATATTTATAGAGGTAGGCACCTATGTAAGTAATTTTTAGAAAAATAAATAATAAGCTCTACAAAATTAGAATAAGTAGGTATTCATTTACCATTTTTAAATATTATCCAATTTAAAATTTATACTGCAAAAATGTTATTTTTTTAGTAACATTTTGATTACAATAAAAAATATGTTTATCAGTTGCAAAATATTTAATATGTAATAAAATGATGATATAAGTATGTATTTTTTATATACCTACATTCTTAGTTAAATCCAACCATTTTGTATTAGGTACCTACCTGTCGTATTTTTTTATTCATACACATTCCCACTTTTGTTCAGGAAGTCTGAATCATACTTAGTAAATTCCAGAGAATAAATTTTAAAAACAAATAAGTCCAATTAACAGAAAATCATTACATTTAAAATATACCTACTTCTACTATCTCTGTTTACATTTCCTTGATCAATGTTTACATTAAATTATATTAACGTGATACCTACATTATTTGATACAATATTAGTCATTTTGAAAATTTTATATACCCACATACGTACTACATAAAATGTTGTAACTATATTAAAAGGAATTAAATGTTTCTCTAAATTAAGTGTATTTTGAATTTAGTTATTCTTTACTTGTTAGCAATAAAGTTAACCCAGGAATAAAGTTGAAAGGTTAAAAAAATTGTTTACTTTTTAATGCTTTCAATAATTGCATATTATATGATGTTGTAATGCAAAAGCTATTTCAGGAATTTTTATGCACTCATTAAATAACCCACACAGCATTTTAGTAAAGTGGTTAAGCGAACGTGATATGTTTCTCACCTCTGACTAGGAAATTTATAATATTTACAAAAAGATTACATCTTGAACGGCAAACATCATAACACTAGGTATCTTATTTCAGTTTTAGAGCGATGTTGAGTGAAGGAAGAAAATTAGATTGGAATTTATCAAATAACTTTCACATATTTAATAAATGATACAAAATTCTATTTAAATAACCTTAATAAAAGCAAAATACACTTACAAATGTTGGAACAATCACCACACAACACTTTATTTTAAACACTATACATTTTCATGCAAAGATGTAAAAACTGATTGTGTGCCCGTACGCAAACGAGAAAATCTTCTAATGTAAATTCTCCGCAAGATGGCATATGAGCAACATTGCTGAAATTCCAAACATTCCAGTCTCACTTACTAACGATTCTAAAAAAGTTAGTTGCTCCACTGAAGCAGAACTTACCATTATTATTTTTATTTTTATAAGCAAGACGGTGAAATAAGTACGTGCCTTCATTTCTATTGCAATACTTCCTAATATGAATTTTGTTGTATCAATTGGAAAAGGTATTTTAGTTAACAATATCAATTAAAGATATTTTTTATCATTAAAATAGTCTGACTTTTAAAAATCGCGCCAAATAAAAATGATGAAATTGAATATTAAATAAATAAACTGTTAGAAAGAATGCTTATCGAATCACAAGCAATTAATCGAATTAAAATTTTTCAAATTCAGATTACGGAACATGATTTCGTACAAAAACAGCTAGGAACTAGGTAGGTACGTACTATAAAGTCATTAATGGTCATTAACATTAACACTGAACAGCGGAAAAGGTTGAAATTTGTCCTATTTTTATTACCTGTCACAATTTGCAAAGTCTGCTTTCAAATAGGTATATATTTTATTATAAATATACTATATCTATTAAAATTAAAAATCGGTTTAAAATAAGGACCAACACATAGTTACATTTTCTCAATTTCAATCCGTACTTATAGGTATAAAATATGCACAAAGCATGTTGTACAAATATGGAATAATTAGACGCATAATCTGAGTACCTACGAAGAGTATTGTTATGTTCGAATCTGAAAATAAACAGTTTGAATAAAACTTTAAAAAAAAATTAGTTAATGTAATAATGATATATGTAAAATAAATTTAATGTATGTTGTACAATGTACTTATGCTCTAGTCAGTAGTCACCTCTAACCCCTACTCTATCTAGTATCTAGACTATCTAGCAATGCTGCACATTTGTATTACTGGTTGCCTTTCACTCATCGCTACCGTACAACTGTAATCTAATAAACCAAGGCAATTTATTGTCAGGTAATTCCAATTTATTTTTGAAAAAATTATATGACTATCACTAATACCTACGTTTATAATTTTTTTAAGTAACTTTTTATTCATGATTAAGTACAGAAATATTTTTATCTGGGGAGTGGACATAAATTACTAACAAAGTATTACGAGTATTACGACTATACGTACGACGTGCTACAATTTTATTATGATGGAATTCCATGATGAATCAACCTCATTCATCGCCCTTGTTATGCATGAACTTTTTTATTGGCTATTTATTATTTAGTAATATTTGCATTCTTGGGAATTTTAATTTTGCAATATTAACCTCAATCCGCCACGCGCCGCGCCATTATTCTATGGCTAGAAATTGGCCTCAATGATTTGGAATCGAGGGGGATTATCCCTCTTTATCCTGCTTCATCTCGTGTAGGCCTGGACAGCCTTCGTAGGTGGGCCCCATCCGTCGTCTACCCCGACCGCAAATGCGGCCGGTGTAGGCGCTTTGTGGGACCTCCTTTTGTCCTGGCTGGGCCCCGCCGGCTAGGGCCCTTTCTTCTGGCGCTCTTCTTGCTTCGCCGGCTCGTCTGTGTAAACCCCGGGGGTAGTGTCATGTTTATGTGTGGTATGGTTGGGTAGGGTAGTGCGGCTATGCAGCCTGGGATGCGCTTTGCTAAGGTGGCCCT